GGTTCCCAAGTAAAAATATAAAGACTTAGTAAGGGTTTAGATATAATATCATACAAAATTTAGCCTGGCAGTTCTTTATGTTGAAATCAAATCAGATTCTCACTTTAAGTAAGCAAAGCAATGTGCGAGAAAGTCTATGAAACAGTTGGATGTGAAGATTGGTTTTTAACTCCATTAAAAATAAAATATCCAAGATTGAACTGTGGACCAAGCCCGAATGAAGTCATTAAGACTTAGAAATGTAGCTTATTGAGCGTAGGTTTTTCTTGTGATATAGTTTCAAGGTCAAAGCATGAGATAATCAAATTAAATATTAGTCAGCTTTTCAAAGTAACATATTACTAAACAAGAAAAATGGATCCCTTTAATATACTCAACTGATATAATGGTGGAATCATATAGAGCAGTAGGCCTTTCATACATAACTTTCATCTTTCCAGTATTTATAAAAGAGTATATTCTACTGATTGCACTGATAAATGGTTATTTTTCTATTACACCCATATAATGTCATCATATTTTCTTATGACTTTCCATATTTTCTGGTAGTATGACTGTCGGTTATGTTGTGGTCGCGTGCTCTATCTTACCACACGCAAATTTATTAGAAAACCATTTCTGCTGCCATGCTTATTTTGTCAATAATACCTATAAATTCCACACTTTTACTGTTATAAATAAATAAATATAATGTCAGCACAATTACCTTCGTTCGACTGATTCTCCAAACTTAAAAGCTGTATTCTAATAGACATTTATTTAAGTGTATATTATTGACGATAGTAAAACATCTGCCGTGGTTCCAGCTAGCTGGTAGTAGTAGAACTAGACGACTGGAAGTCAGCGAGAACCGATATCGACATCATATTCACTTTTATAACACCATACACGCACACAAATATCATCATAATACATACTCAACAATATTTTTATTAGCATTTTAAAAATCACTTACCGATTTTGTGTTTGAAAGCTGTGTTTATAGCCTGCTAAATCCTTTTTCATTGCTCGCCATTATCGATGCCAGCACTTCCCTTTCGTATTAGAGCGAACGGCAACATGAAACCCCCGCCCCCACATTGAGTGGCCAGTAGACGCAGCCTACTATAGTCTGTTTCAAAATTGATTAGGTACTATTCTATTAACACACTTTAATTACAATACTGCACTTACTAGTGCTAAATAGTACCACAATGTTGCTATACAACTATAGCAGAAGACTATTAATGCACACATTATATATTAACACAAGGAATGATTAAATAACAAACAATTTATGACGTTTTAAATTCAACAAGTTTGATAACTCATGATATCGCATGCAATTCAAAATGACAACGAAATATAACTAAATTTCAGGTGCCAATTTATTTTAAAAAAATTACCGAAATATTCAAATTCAGATTTTTATAGAAAAATGTTTTATGAAGACGCATTAGATTGACAAAAAATCAGTATCCATTGAGGATCGTATTGGATTCTCATTACATTCATCCTTTCATCTTCACAATGACAAGGTATTACAAATTTCGTCTTATACCTTGAATGTAAGCCACTATTCTTGAATCACAGAATGCAGCGATTCGATTAGATTGTACTCTAGCGAATACCGCCAATCAGAGCCCTCGACAGAAAACTGTTAACATTATGGCTTTGTGATCACAGACTCTCGAGGCCTCTGATTGGCTGTATTCATTAGCATGGAATTCAATCAATTTGCTTCATTTACAAACTTCCGTGATACAACACGATACAAGGGTGAGCTCCAACATAACAAAGCTAAATTCGATCTTCTTGTAACACTTTTCAAAATGTAAATAAATAAATAATTATTTTAACTTTATTTTCCAGACTGCCTTTGAAATATAAAAGTCATTTCCGTCTAATATATCAAATAGTTTATGTTCATTGTAAACCTCAGAAGCTAATGTTATCAGGATTATTGTAACTTTCAATTTAAATTCAACTTAAATACAGCACAATTGATTCGTCCAATCTGCACTGAATGCAAATCTGGATATTTAGTTTCTTGTGTTTTACCTTGGGTGACTCAACTTACCATCTATGATCCGACATAATTGTTATGCATCTCATGTTCTAGGTCATATACTCAACCAATCAAATGTTATGTTCAATAGAAGATTTCCATTGACTTGCACTGTCTGTCAACTCTCAATAGTGTCTTTCTTTGGTCACTTCTTTGATCATTTCGCTCAAAGGGCAAAATTTAGATGAACATGATTTAAAGAACAATTTTGTCAGATCATGGATGGCAAGTGTATAATATCCCGCAAGAAAACATGGGACTTAACATCATTCTGCATTTTAATATTTCTGAACTGAAGATCATCTGGCTTATTTTCTAAAAAAAATGGAATGGTATGGCCCAAGATTTTTTTAAATAGCATGTTACATTAGACAGATTGCATGTTAATTAAAACCAATTAGTAATGACGTGACACTCCGCCCAACAAATCGACAATACATTTGAAATGGAGACCCAAACCTTTCAATAACAATGTAGTTATATTGATAAATGGGATTATGTAAATGTAATATTCTATATAAATAGTCTTCATCAATGTTCATTGATTTGTCTAGGGTTTATTTAAAGGCGTGGCTCATTAGAGGCAAAAACCTTGGGATTCTATTTCGAAATAATAGTGAAAGAAATGGGGTGGCATTTCGGTAAATGTTTGTTGACCTACATTGCAGTTGAATTTACCTGTGGTGTAATCACATGTTAATATATTTGATTGTAACATGACCATTGAGGATGTTTGGCGCCCTACAAATACACCAAGTAAATCATATTAGCTATGCGAACTCTCCGCATGGGATGCCGAGAGACAAACCCAATCTCAGAGTGGCATGAGGTACTCCAGAAGGGTAAGCATGTCCGTCTCGCTAACGATATCCTCAACAGTGCTTCTTTTAGTGATGCTCAAAACAGGCTATGGACTCAGAAACTTTCAGCTCTTATTTTGAAGAAAGAAGTGAAGAGATCAAAGTTACGTTATCACTAATGATTATTTGGAATTGATCAACTCTAGGTTAGACTAGACCGAAACATCTGTCTCTTTTCTAGCCTCTGATAGCTATTTGGACAGATGTCGGCCGGTGTAGAGACAGAAAAAATAGACCCTGTTAAATGGAGACATTCCGGATCTCCGCAGGTGTCGGGTATTTACACCTATTTAAATACCTCAAATCTGCAAAACCAAAATATATTTGGAAAGATGAATAATTTTGTAGGTCAGTCATACCATCAGTTTCTCCATACACCTATGTCACGTGTCCGGTTCCGTCAATTGTGTTTCAACGAAACTAATCTCGCATCGGCCGGTTAATACTGCGTCCGCAGCCAAAAGGTCAAAGGCCACATGATACTAACAAAATCATCATCATCATACTGTATTCTGTCTAAAGTAAGCATTAACTGCTTCTAGACCACCTTAAGTTGACTTGTTGTTTGGTTGATTGGGGTGCGCATTAATTATGACCATAAATTGTAGAGTTGTTATTGACTGCTTTATCAGTAATAAAGTTCTTGTTATAGCATGGAGCTTGGTGAGAATTTCAACCGGTCATCTTTCCATGCAGTGTTAAGGTTGGATTTGAACTGGTTCAGGGTTGTAGATTCAACGACAGAATTTGGTAAGGAATTCCAAGTGTTTACTATTCTGTGACAAAAGCAGTTTTTCTGACATCCAATCTTACTTGTTGTTTTTATAGTTTTTTTTGTCGTTGCTCCTGATTCTTGTTTCTTTTGAATAAGTTTATTGATTATTGTTTCCAAGGTTGTTTTTACCACTGATGAATCTGCATACTTGTATCACAACGGCTCTCTTTCGACGGTATTCAAGAGTTGGTAATCCTAGGAATCTAAGTCTATCTGGATATGGCAGATGTTCCAGATTTTTAAGTATTTTAGTTGCACGCCTTTGGACATTTTCGATACCTATTTCATCCTTATTCAATATTGGGTACCGGGCTGTTACTGCATACTCTAGATGTGGTCTGATTAGAGTCTTGTACAGTGACAGGAACATTTCTTTGTCAAGATCGGTAAATGTTCTTTTTATCATTCCTAAAAGTCTATTACCGGTACCCTATCTGATAGTGTCTGCAATATGGGTTGTGAATTTGAGGTTATCTTGAAAAACTACCCCGAGGTCCTTTTCTTAGGAATCTTGATTAAGAGGTCTGTTTTGGGTCTCCTATGTAATATTGGTGTTTTGGGTTGTTGATTCCAAAGTGTAGTGACTTGCATTTCTCAATGTTAAATGCCATCATCCATTTACTTGACCAGTCTACTAGGTTGTTCAAATCTGCTTGGAGATTGGTGATATCAGACTGCTCTCCACTAGGTCCCATAATCTTTGTGTCGTCTGCAAATAATTTAATGACTGATTTAACAATTGATGGTATATCGTTTATATATATAAGGAAAAGTATTGGGCCTGAGAGACTCCACTATTAATATCCACCCATGTTGATGTGATTTGGTTCAGCATGACCCTCTGTCTTCTGTTGGTTAGGAAGTTTTCCACCCACTTTAAAATTTTACCAGATATGCCAAGATTTTGCAATTTGATGAGAAGTCTCTTATGAGGAACCTTGTCGAAGGCCTTCTGAAAGTCCAAGTAGATTGCATCTGTAATTGGCATCTGTAGTAGGTTATCGCAAAGAATGGTTACACTGTCTGACACCCCTGGTTATCTCAAATGATCGTTAAATTATGACTTCCATGTCCGACACTCTGATCAAAAGAGCCAGGGCACTGCAGTTTTTTTTTAAAATAAGGCCTGTTAATGCATTTTTCAATAACCTTTGTCGCCTCCATCCTTTAGTGCTCACATCACAACTTCACTCTACTTCATTATCTGAATATCCATTCTAGAGCCAGTTTAAAAAGGGAAACTAAATCATTGTAGTATTTTTAAAAATAATTGTTGTCTCCCTTTACATCCTGGACTTCGACTTTTGACCGTAGATTACTTCTGCTTAATCAACAAGAACAAGGATTGCTTACTTCAATACACATCTCGTTGGAAAATTTTGAGAATGCCAAATTACTAGAGAAAACACAGTAGGTGAGATGGTTACACCTTAAAATTGTGTAGGGCAGGGTTTTTGTGACTATACAAAGTACAATTTCCACTGCAATGACAGCAGATTTATACTTTAAAACACCTGTCAGCTGACTATAGCCTTAATAGTAGGCCCTATGCGTGATAAGCTAGGCTACTAATCATTATTCAAAATCAGATATTATCATGTGTGGCATTTAATTTTCAGGTTATGATTGGATATGCCAAATTATGAACTAAATATGACTTTTCAATAACTAGGCCAATTTCTATATTGCTTGCAACATGTCAGCACATGGGCCGATTTCAATGTTGCCATTGTTGATGTTGGAGTTAGTGTAAGGTGTCAGTGTTTGTGTATATCCAGAACCCAAACACCATGTCAGGTGTTGACACCAAGTGTTTTTTAAAGTCAGCACTGGTGTTAACAAGCAACATGACTGCCAACACCAACTTTGAAATCAGTCTAGTGTAAACCCCTAGGGGTTGGGTGTTATCACCAATAAAAAGTCCTTTGAATTTCATAAGAACAAACACTAGCTGTGGTTTAGCTCAACACCTGGTGTTGAGATGGTGTCAACAACTTTGAAACACCAACACTGCTGCTTGATTTTAAAGTTGGTGTGGAAATTGGTGTTAGTGTTGGTGTCGGTGATAGTGTCAACACCTAACACTAACTTTGAAATGGGGTTACATCAAAACTGCTGCTTATTTTGGTTGGTATGCAAATGGGTTTAAGTGTTGGTGTTAGTGTTAAAACCTGGTGTCACCAACTTTGAAATCATACCAAAGGCCTCTCTCAAAGAATTGTCCCTATAAATGTGTGGACATTCCTATCTATTGGCCAGCATGATAATCTATTGTATTTCATGAATTTCCTCCTTTCCAGATAAGAAAGAAAATGAGTTTGACGAGTGAGACTGGGTATAGCTATAATATTAGTGATCTAAAATGTCAAGTTTATTTCCCAGGGTTAAGTTATGATGATTTTGATAGAAATGGTAAGTTTTTTAATCTTTGTTAAATTATGTTATCAATTTAGGTCTTCAAATCAGTGGCAGAAATAGAGGCAGGGTGACTTAATTGGGGAAACCTATCGAGGTTGATATTTAAAATGCGCAGTTGTAAGGAAGCACCATGGAGCGTCTGAGAGGTCTCTAACTGAAGAAAATTAAAAAGAAAAATAGGAATGATTTGGTGCACTCTGACACATATTTTAGGAGAACAGCATATAAATTCATATTTGAAAATTGTGAGAAATGAAGTGGGGTTACAAACCGTTTTTCTAGAGGGACAAATGCTACAGTAGGCCTACTGTCATATTGACTGTTAATTGTCAACTGTTGATATACAACAAATGTTAATTGGTAATGGTCAATTTAAATGGATATAGTTATAGTCATACCAGCTGATACAACTCAATTTTAACAACCTGTAACACTCTTCAATATTAGATCTGACTTTTACTCCTCCCATCTAAGTTCAAAATACCAATATCAACATTCTGGTGACTGGTTGACTAGTCATAATATAGGTAATATCTAGAGAATGTTAACTACTTCTTGGAAGTTAATTGTTAAATTCTGAGGTATTTTTTTTTTTAATCTGAAAATTAAGATAGATAACTCAACTTGAGCTGTATTATTTGAACACTAAAAAAACTTCTAATATTTGCACCCTCTGGTAAATCATTAAAAAAAAAAATAACGATACAACATGTAACTAGATATGGTTGGTTCACAGATTGGTCAAATTGAACAGTTATCAATGCAATGGCAAGAAGATGTCTGCTGGATCATCTGTTAAACTTGAAACCTATGAGAATGACCTTGATATATGAAGATGCACAAATATTAAACAAAAATCGATTGGATTCAATGTAGTATTACTATATTTTCAGGATGTATAAGTGCATGGAAAATAAGCAAGTTATTTGAAGGAGGTCGTGCTATAGCATTTTTAGGCGGATTCACTAGTGACCTTTTAAGTCCTAAAACTAGAACAAGATTTATAGTTGCTCAAAATATTCAGCTTGTACCAAATACTACCAAGCGATACAGAAGTTTTCCATTTTCTGTCATGTTAGAATTGAAAGATGTAGGTCTTTCTTCTGTTACAATAGAACAAGTTCTAAGAAATGAAAAGAATGACAAGATTATTGGTACTAGTGTGTTTAAATTTGTTTGTGTTGATAGAGAAACCAAACGACCAGCATCATTATTGAAAGAAGCCAGAGAGAGGTACCTGAAATTACTTGGAGGATCAGCAAAGGCTAAACCTCAATTTCTAATGACTATACCAGATTTACCATTAGATACTTATCATATACCAATCTTTGTGTTACCCAATGATACAGATCAAAATCAACATCTAAATCAAGGTCAATTTGTACGCTATTGTTTAGATTGTGCTGCAATGGCATCTATTGAAGGATATTATCAATATTTTATAACTGATATTTGCAATTATCAAGCTACTGATATTGATGTGTTATACAAGCGTGAAGCTCTAGCAGGTGATCTTGTTCATGCTCATACATGGCAAGACAAGAATGATCCCCAAATTCTCTATTTTATCATCACTAAAGACAAGAATTCCTTATTACATGCAAGAATACGTTTTGCCTTGGAACCAATATCAAAGTCTAAATTATGAAATATTCTTTCAAATGAAATGTTCAATTAATGTATTAATTATGATTGAATCTGATTAAATCTAATTATCAGTGCTACAAATGAATTAATTATAAAAACATTGACAGATCAGAACTGAATTTGTATTTCCTATTTCACCATTTTCCAGTAAATCACCACATAAATTTACTTTTCTTCTTGTTAAATATAAAGATGACATCCAAAGGGGTCATTGGGTCCTTTATGTTAAACTTAAGGGAAAATATGAATATTTGTTTGGTGGTTCCATACTGAAAAATGGTGAATAGATGTCTATGGATGGAAATTCCCAGGGATTGAAATTTTATGTTGAAAATTAATAAAATTAAGAAAAGGTTTGTGTTTTTATTCACATAATGCATTAACAATAAATGATAATAAATAGCAAGACAATATTGTTATTGTATAAAGACAGGTTTTGAGGACAAATTTATTCAAATTGAAAGTTGTCAAGACAAGAGAACCAGAACTGCTATTACAATTTCAAGTAGTAGAGCTGTAGAATTTTTTTCATACAAAAATAAATACATGCCGAGTACACGTAATTTTTAATTTGCTTGAAAACAGATATCACTGTCATGTTTCCATGAACATGTACACTTGTAACCTGAAGATGGTTCACTATCTATAATATAATATTTAATGCAGAATCAATAGCTTAGCACATGTATTATTATTATCTAAGAAATAGTAAGTTGGACATGTGAGGTATATGTATATGTATATTTTATAAGATATTGTGTATCTTTATGAATTATGGTCATCAATCACAGAAGCATGATAGCTTAATACACAGTTAAAATATATTTCAGCCAACAACAAAATATTTTACCAAGAAATGAATAACACCCACTTTGTACTGCACAAATAGCAAATAATCACAATTTCTTTTACAAATTCATTGTTCACAAATATACTGTGAATAATTTACAAGTTTGTTATATAATTGTCTTTTGAAATAGCACTATATTCCATATTTTACCGGAACTGTATTGGACTGATACGTAATCCAATACAATCTTTACCTATCTCTGTAACCTGAAAATATAAACAGAATAAAATTAAATTTCTATTTGTCAGTGAGAAACCACCTGATAAGACATAATTGTACCTAGAAAAAATAGACATCCTTTGGTTGATCATAAAAATGCACTCAAGGTATTGAAACTCAATAAATCAACAAAATTATACAAGTGATTCCAGATCAATCAGTATGCCAGTCCTAATTTAGAACAGTCTAAAATATTTCTAAGGTATGCATAAAAATAGATCCCTCCTAATTGGCAATATAGGGTTTATTACTTTCTATTATGTGCAACAAATAGAATAACTAAATAATAATAATTAAATGGTTATCAATTGTGTCTTGTTATACAGTAATTGAGGTTCACAAATAACAATATACATTTTACTTACCCCAGACACCCTACAGACTTGACCTTTAAACTCTGGTAAATAACATGCTCCACTTAAAGGACATTTCACCACTGGTTTACCTCTGTAATACCAATACAATAATAATGATAGTTATTATTCGCTACTCTATTTCTATTCCACAAGCCAGTGTGCAATCGGGTTATATTTGCAATTGCCTGCAAGAATGCCTAAAAACACTAAATGCATGTGCTAGGTTTGTAAAAAAAAGATTATTTCTTTTTACTTTTAATGTGAATTTAATTACTATGATCACTACCTTAACAGAAGTTTGACAGTATTGTCAATAGAGGGAGTAATCCTTGTAATATGAACTTGATTTTGATATAACTTGTTCAAAAACAGTTGTTTCAAGTCATCATTTGAGAGTATTACAACATAAAGAAAAGTAAGTTTTAAATAGGTAAAGAAAGAAAAAATTACCTGTAAATAGGAACATAAGTAGCAGCACAGATATCAAATGGATTATGTTGATCATATTTTAATTCATGTTCATCTGTAGCATTCTTTTCACAAGCTGCTAAAATTTTCCTGGTCTGCAAGAAAAATTTGAATAGATATCTTGATATATGGCAATGCTAGTAGAGAGTATTAAAAATGCTTTAGCACTTCTCAAACATTGTCAGGATCAATTTTAGGACATTTATATTTGTACAACATCCAGTGCCATAAAATTGAATTTCTTACCTGAGTAGCTACATCTGGTTTTGGTCCTAATTCTAATAATCTTCTAGCAAATGAAGCTGCTGTTTTATAATTTTTGAGTTTAAAGAAGAGATTAAGAGCTGTACGTAATGTTAATATTAAATGTACAGGCTGGAGATTACAATGGGTGAAATAAGCAGCCATCTAAAATATAAATAAATCAAATTATATAATCAATGAATGATGAATTTAAATTAATCATAATTTTGCATGATAAGAGTATTTGTTCCAAAATAACAAGCTTATACCTCGCATACTGAAATTGATCTCTATTTTGAAATGAAAATGTATTAGTGACTTTTCAAAAATAAAGAAATAAAAAACATATCTTGAACTAGACTTACCTCACATAGTCGTTTTTGATCAGCTAATGTGGCTTTCGGCATCTCTTTTCTTTTATTTTCCATAGATAAACCAACTATATATTCTCTACATATTTCTATCAATTGTTGAGCCTTTTAAATTATTTAAGAATTCCATTTTACAACCCAGATCCAATTTTAGCAATCAATAACAAATTCTTATAATATAATCAGTTTAAAAAATAAAGAATATATTGAAATATAGCCCTCAGTCCCATGATCTATTATTGTCATATTCCTGTTTAGTCGGATAGAGTTGCCTACCCTTGCTGTCATGTTAAGACAGGGTTTGGGTGCCTGTTCAGCATGGCTGAACTAATTCTGTTCCATGATTTGACAACTCCCCCCCCCCCAAAAAAAATGTAATGTTTGATACAAGTAACCTCTGCTATTTCTTGTTTATTTTCCACCACTAATAATGGAACACTCAGTAAAATAGATCTGAATTTGTCAACAGCATCAGCAAATTTTCCTGATGTAGTTAATAAATAGGCTGTTTGAAGTTGCTGTACTAACATATTTAACTTGAGACCAACTGAGGGGGCTCCATTTCTGGCACCGGCTTCTTTCCTACAAAACATAAATGTCATATTTCAATATCATGGCTACCTATAATATTGTGATCAAATCTTTGTTAGGAGTTAGGAGATCTTTAAAAAGCGTGCAAAAGATGGTGGACAGAGACTTAGTTCTCAACAGAACATGGTGGGGATGTCGGGTAATGTTGTCAATACCTCTCACACCAAGCCATCCTTGAACACTTAGTTCTCACAGTGGAGTATGGTGCCTAATCAAATATTAAACAAGTTAAAAGCAATATTAAACCAACCAGTTTCTATGTGGATAACCAAAGAATGGAGGTAATGAAGGTAAACCAATATAACTTGTTCGTGATCTACTGTAGGTATGTAGGAATAATTTCTGATAGGATTCAAAACTCACAACTCCAATCTGGTCATGTAGCAGCTAGAATTATAGTAAAAATTGAAGGTCATAAATAAGAGGTTTGAGTTTTGAAAAATGCTATTGATTGAAGCCAGAAATTCTCAAGTTAGTTGGCAAGCATTTAACTCACTGAGTCACCTTGGCCCCAGAAGAGTTTCAACCTATATTAATTTCAGTTAGTTTGTTTCATTTGCTTGGTTTTCTCCTTGTAAATTTCCTGGATCTGTGACTTTTAATACTTACTCTCATAGCAGTTTCAAAGGATCCAGCTAACACATGATCAACTGGTAACTGTGAATTATTACACCAAACTTGAGCTTGACTTGTACCTTTAGTTGGTGGTACAAAAAATCCATCTTCACCAGTAGATACTGGTCCTACATCCTGTAATAATAAATATCATTTCTTTAGATTATGAAGTAAAATAATGAATATTGTACTTGATTCGCATTAAATACCATCATTTATTTATTCATTTGATTGAATATTTCTTTTGTAGTCAATAATGAGAAAGCATAACCACCCGAACTGGATACAATAATCCGTCAGATACAATAATGCTGCTTCTTTTAGCAAATATCTAAATGAATATGAGACTCACCAGATCTGCTGGTAATTCTAAATCATCATCACCAACATCCCATCCACCACCTTCAGTATCACCAACTTCAACACCATCATCATCAAAGCCTTCTCCTTTACCAAAACCATCTATTAATATAAAGCCATATTAATGAATGCATTCATATTCACATAGAAAATATTTACTTTAAAATACTTTTTCAAAATACAGAAATCTCAAATTCCATTAAGCCAAAAACATTTTGTGAACATCAAAATAGATTTCATCATGCTTTTCGTGGTATATTTTACAAATGAGTACCAATGTCTCCCAAATACATGAAAGGTTAGAAACATACCTTCATCCAGAACAAGTTCAGCATCTTCACCCCAACCTTCACCAGCTCCCATATCATCAGCTTCTACAGCAGCCATAGAGCTCTGTTTACCACCTGTAATTTAGATAATGAATCATAAATCAACCAAGAAACCAAATTTTGTGCATTGGTTCTCTGATGCCTGTTAATGACATACAAACAGTAAATTCTTGGAATCTTATTCTTGGATTTGAGTCCACATTTAATAAAATACATTTGAAAGCTCCACATTATCACCATTATCTCAATATTAAATGTTGCTGATATGAATTGAATTGAAATTCTTAATCTGTGTATTGAGTATGTAGAGGTCTTACCTCTAGCAGCCATAGCTCCCTCAAAGAAACCCTTTGATACTGTTAATAATGGCCAGTTAGATTCTTGTTGCATGATAGGTACTGGTGGTTGTTGAAGGGTAGCATTTGGATATAAATCTGGTACTTTATCATTTTCACCGAAACCTTCCTGTATTTCTTCTGCTTCTTCTTCTAAACCATGTGTTTTAGCTGTTACATAGGCTAGTGATTCTGATAAAAAAAAAAAACATATTTACATAAGATTTTACAACTGGGATAATGATTTGACAATGTTTCTGAAAAACTGTCAGGCGCAGAATAACTTCAAGGGCCAATTTCAACGATCTTTAGTTTTGTTTTTTTTTCTTTGATTGTTGACTATATCAAAATTCATTGAAATAAATTCAGTTTATATACTTACTTTGTCCACATTGCCTTAATATTTTAACTCTTTCATTCACATCACCTAGTAACAGAGAAGCTTGAAAATGTCCACTGGTATCTTTACGAATTTCAGCTGAAATAAAAGACCAAAACATTGTTTAGATGACTGCAGGACTATATAAATGTTTAAATAGGCTGAGTTAATGAAAATGTACTGTTTTGATAGTAGAAATCAGGTAACATGGTGCTTTTGATCCGGGTGATATACTATGCCCTCCTCAGATGAAAGACATAAAAGGGCAATATATTTCCTTCTAAAGTCCCTTTTCCACGGGCAATTGAGATATAATGGAAGATAAGTGTATATGAATAAGTGACAGGTAGATTAAGTTTAAATGCAATACCAATTTTCATCATTTTCCTCATTTTCTCCAGATTACCAGTAATAAGATAGAGGAAAGATAGTTTATCAAAGTTCTTAGTTCTCTGGTAGGCCATCTCCACTATTTGATGATTTCCTTGAAGTAAAGCAGCTTCTCCTAGTTTCTCCCAACAAGCTTGATCATCTAGTGCTCTAGCTGCTTCCAAGGCAATCTGAAACAATACATTATTGGTTAGCCATTGGCCTTTATCTGTGGTTATTTCAAAAGTAGAATAATCCTTCAAATAAAAGAATCATGAAAGTCAACACATCACTGTCTCTTGTTTATGATAAGATCATGAGTGGACATCTTTTGATACAAAATACAATGGCTATATTCGGCCAAAATTTACACTTTAACACTATCAACATCAAAACCTGTCTTACCTCAATGTTTCCACATTCCAGTGCCAAACCAAATCTAGTTTTCTCATCTTTAACAAAGTGTAGAGCTACCTCAGGATAACCTTTCTTTTGTAGGTATGATATGATAGACTGACCTACTAATTTAGCATTTCTCACCATATGTAATACCTGTAAACATAATAAGTAAATTATAAATTCTTCAAGGAATTTTAATATCATTATTGTCAATTAAGTTTTTTCAATAACCTCGTAAGGCTCCTAGATATGTTCAATATACATATGCAAACCAAACAAAAGAAAAAGATGTTTCTATATTTTTAAACATTGAAATATTTGATAGTAATGTTAACCAAAATCAAGCTATAATATCTTCTAATTTGAACTCATCGAAGAACATACAAACTTATATTATTATGTGATAATGAGTCCACTACATACCTCTTCATATTTTCTATTTACAAGAGCCAGTTTAAATTTAAATTCTGTAGGATCAATGTTCAGAACTCTTGGTCGACACTCTCTATCTAGACAATAGACACTATTACCCTTTATACGTGTTATATAGATAGGTAAATCTAATGTCCTTATAATACCATGATCACTACAATATAAAACAAATATCATATTAAAGGTCATGGTTCATCATTTTCCAGAATTGATGTGTGTCTTGAATTTATATAAAATCTTCAAAAGTACTAAAACTATATAAAAATTGCAAAATCCCTTTACATATACATCCAAATAGAAATTTCACATATATTTCTAAATTTGTTTTTTTCTATACAACACAAGTAGTCATTTTCAAATGTTGATACAGTTTGTAGTTAAGGTAATGTCTCAAAAGTTTTTTACAAAAAAAAAGTCTAATATATTTGAGAAATATTAAAAGTTCTTTGAACCAAAATATGACCTACCCGTTAGTTAGAGCATACTTAATATGGTTACTGGTAGTATAAACAAAGACACCACTTTCATCCCAGGCACCACTCTTAACACGAATATTCTCATGTATAGTACATAGATTATCTAATTTACGATTACAGATAGATATCACTGAAATACAGAGTTTAATCATTATGTGTGCCTAACAGACAAAATAGAACAGTATTTGTTTCATGCACTTTAAATATTTTCATTACTGACTAAAAAAAGAAAGAATTTTAATGGTTTGATCAGAATTTAAATAAGGCAGATGAGAAAATGAATTGCAAATGAATACCATATGACATAAATTGATAATATTTGTTTACTTACCATGTTTACTAAATAAAGCTACATGTGACATATCACTACTCCAAACAACATATTTTACTTTAGAAATCTTGATACTGGCTAGAGTTCTACAAAATATAGATAGTATAATATATACAGTGCATGAAAACATTGAAGAAAACAAACATTGAAGGGATGATAGAAAAAATAAAGATGAATTTGTGTCCCGGTATTTAACAAGATTTAAATTCTGTGTACAATAATCTAAAAATTTATAGAATAACACTTGCTCTAATTATTAACAAAATAATGCAACTAGAGTTTAAGCATATGATAATGTTATTATTTTTCTTACCTTTTCTGTTGAACATCAAATAGTGTGACACTGTCATTTTCTTTCAACAATAAACATCCAGTACCAGCATAGAATATATCTTCACAATTTGGTGTCTGTACCTTCTTGGTTATTTCATTCTTTAAATTCTTGATTATAATCTAGAAATAGATTTTATAATATGATTTCACTTCATTCACTGTAAGCTAAATGTATGCAGCTGCACTGTTTTTGATATAGATTCATCATCAGGACACAAAGAAAATGGAGACTAAGTTAAGTAGATGATCTCACTATGAACAAATTTAAACATGCTTTCATTAGACAATGCCGTATAGATTTTTCAATGTTAGATATATACAACAATCAAAAAATATTTTTAATATGGATGGTAATAAAATGTGATCCAAACATACTGAATGTGTTCTGTCTAAAACGGCAAACCTATTTCTAGCCACCCATACTGCTGTCAAACCTGATGACCTTTTACCTTCTGGTGCTGCAATATGAACACAAAATGTATAGTACAATATAATATGTCTGTCCTTCAGCCATCTCCAGAGAGAAACATTTGCAATAAATGAAAACTCCTAGATAGTAGGATAACAAAGGCGATAAAGAGTAAGATTCTCATCCAAGGAAATTCAAAAGTTAATGGTGTCATCTTCAATGCTTTCTGCAGTCTCCAGCCTTCCACATGAACTTCAGCCAATATATAAACTGTAAATTCGGTGTTGAAAACTTACCATCAGGGCTCTGTGAATCAGAATCTTTAGGTATAGCATATAAATCATAGGTACTATTCTCTATTGTACTGGCTCTCTAAACAAATATAATATAATATAATACAATACATATTACATATCATATACATTCTGACAACAGACATCTGCCATAGATCTTATCTATGAAATAATTGGACAAGATACTTCATACAGCATATCATAACCTCTTAAGGCCAGACAGTACCCGAAAAGTTAAATTTGCTAATTATGATACATCCAAATTAAGTGTCAGGAAAGACTTAACAGGTGAATAAATAATAACTTAAAAGACTTTTAAAAAACTTATTAAATTATTTAAAGCGGTTGCCATGGTAAAGTAAAAAATTTGGTTCTATTTTAGGGAAGCGATATCTCTTAAACTAATTAAGATATTTTAATTCTGTAAAAATAATATCGGACCTAATTGAATTTTTGACATAACTACTGAGCCATTTATTGATAACTTAGATACTGTGTTCAGGAGACCTCTCCAAACATTGAGTTCAATAATTCAGTCAAATGAAAATGGTAAAATACTTAGTGAATGAATAACAAAATTAAAACAACTTACTGTAGTTAAAAGAACTGCGTTTTCTGCAGGATTATAGGACATACTATATACTGGACTTCTTGATCCACTACAAATAAAACAAATATTATGTAATCTTTATAAATCATATATCCTTGTACAGTGGGATATTTATTTTGTTAACTTTTTTATCCTTTTATGTCAGATATTAAACCCAATTACTACCAGCATATACAACAGGCAAAAAAAAATGTATATTGTTGACAGAATCCAATATTACCTCCTCAACTGCATGACTGGAGCATCTTTAGATGTATTGAAGTCTAGTCTACGAAGATATTTTTCTTTAACATAATACAGTATATTATTATGTACAGCACTTGCTGGTCTTTCTCTTTCTAACTTAAATATTATCATACCATTATCATGTCCTACAAATATATCATAAACATGATAACACGATAACCATGTTAATAGTCAAATTTTAAAAAACTCAGGCTAAAACATAATCTTAAATAAACAGTGCAGGACACTACAAGACCTAAATAAAACTAATGACACTTGTTGCTGTAAATAAACTATCTTCAATAAACTCTTCATAAAACTTGTGCTTTAATATCTCTAAAGTAATCAGCAAAACAGTTCCAAAAACTGAAATAGAAGCTAATTCAGTACATACCTGCAGCAAAAAGATTAAGTGTTGGATGAGCAGCCATAACCCAAAATCTATCATGTTCACGTCGGAATGTTTGTACACCAGTTCTATAGAAAACAAAGTAATAGTTATTATACACCATATGTAGTAAAGATCAAATCAGTAAATATAAGATAATAGTTGTATGGCAAACGCACAACTTTTCAGTTATTCTATATATGCAAAGTCTTTTAACTTTATAAAACTAATTTGAGACTTTTGGTGAGGTTATTATATATACTCAAAAAGTTGGTTAAAAACTGAAATCCACACGACCTGTGTCACATAAAATTTAACACACAATTAATAGACTAACATTAACTTAAAATGAACAAATTAGATGCTTAAGAGCTAAAAATAAAAAATGTGCCTACCTTTTGCTCATATCCCAGACTCTGATACTCTTATCTTCTGAATTACTGAGTATTAGATCTTGTCTGGGATGAAATAAAACACATGATACATTATTATAATGTCCTCTACATGTATCTACCTCCCACGCTTTAGATTCTACAATAATAACATACAACAATATTGGTAACTGACATAAGAATATAATATTGTGGCAATGATAGAATATGGATATAAATGTATTAAAAGTTCTGGTTGCCTTGTAAAAAAAAGGTTGTGATGTAGAAGTAATCACAAGGCGACAACCAACATGTTCTCAATTCAAATACCACAAGTCAACAAGTCAAAGCAGAAATTAAATAATAATTTGATTTTGTATTATTTAATACAGATACAATTGCAAGATATCTTAAGCACACCATAAATGACTTACCATTCATTCTCCAAAGTTTAATCTGTCTATCATCAGCACCAGATACTATTAATGGTAGAGTAGGATGGAATGCAGCCCAATTGACTCCTCTATCATGTCCTTCCAGAACATGTTTAACAATAGCATCAGAGGTACCAAATAAATCTGTTTGACCACTACCACGTAATCTTTCTTCTAAACCACCAGGTCCTGGTGCTACATTCTTCTTTCTTAATCCTGCAGCAAGAATAATGTTATACATTATAACTATCATATAAATATTTAAATGGTTATAGAATCCAAAAAGTGTTATGTGATTGTAGATGAACTTGACCTCAGATTTCATTCTCAAAAGATCCCTGGATAACTAAGCCTATATATTTATGGCCAGACATATTCATGCCTGCTTTCTCAGTCAAAAACGAAAACAAAACTTTATAAAATTTCAACCAAATATCGTTACAAAAACAAATTAAACAATAGCAGCAGCGTAAAAAGGTTAATCCATTTCAATCTTGCTTCCACATATTTTGTTGTTTTGTGATATTATGGTTTTAATCTTTACCTGATATATCCCAGACTCTCACAGTTTGATCTAATGATGCTGAAACTACCAAATCTTCTGATTGATGAAACATTGCACACATAACATAATGACTGTGTCCTGTTAATACACTGAAATAGAAATAACATTGTATTCATTAATAACATATACTATTTGGCTGTCAGTCATTCTTTTAATAATCATATATAACAACAATGTGATCATTTTCTATTTCCTTTATATCCATCATGGACTGATAACCATGCTTACCTGATACAATTCCTTGACTGCCAATTCCATATTCTTAATGTTTGATCATCTGATGAACTGAGAATCCATGGATATTCCTGAAATTAAGAGAAGGTATATCAATGCTTTAAGCAGAGTAAGGAAAATATTGGACATAATTTCAACAATGTAGAAGCACTCTGAAGTTGATTAAATGAATTATTCAAAATACTTACATGATGAAACACTGTCGTTCTGATGTAATCCAAATGGCCTAATAATGTGAACAAACATCTTCTTTGCTTATAGTTCCATACCTATCAGTAACGATAAGAAAAAAAAATTAAGTTCAAAATCAATTTATAAAGAACAAACTGTTTGACAGGTAGAGTGAAATTTGCATTTCATCACAACTAAATGATAAATGAATATGTGTATACCTTTATTTTGTAATCATCACCTCCAGACACAAACAAAGGTTGTTGTTGATGAAAACAAATTCCTCGGACTGGTCCTGTAAAAAAAATATATGATTATAGGCCTATAACATATGCCATTATATCTTTGTAAACAATTGATGAAATAATTGTATTATATTCTAACTTTCAGTGATTTATTCAAGTATGAAAGCCATGTGCTTTTATCTTAATATTTCTTAACATCTAGCTGGACATAGGCTAGTTCAAACAAATTGTTTTTTTAAAGAAGCCATTCATTGTATTAGTCAAAAATAAATTTTCTTACCATCATGTTCATCAAATTTATCAATTAGTGTACACATTCGATAATCCCATAATTGAATGACACCATTGTGTAAACTAGCCAAAACCCATGGTCTCTTTGGGTGAAAGGATAAACCTAAAATCAAAGAAAACCAATATTTGAAATTTGTTTGATTGAATAATACATACGATACAAAATAATCAACATTAGTAAAGTTTCTGTATCATTTATTAGGCCCTATTAGTAGTATTAATAATTGACATATTGAGTTAATAGGCTAAAAGTTGTTGAAGGTTATTTGTTGCCTATCTTCTTCATTGCCGACCTATTCAGTCAGTGATACTGTGCTGTGACAAATACGGAGTATAATACTACAATACATAAGAGGGTCCATTTCTCAAATCAAAATAACTATAATAACATGAATTACCCTTCACTCTTGCAGACTTGGTCTCAAATTTTGTTAGCATTTTGTCTTTATTCTAATTACAGCTGCAAATGAATAATATAATATATTAGCCGACAAAAATTATTCTTTCCACTTCGACGTGGAGCAAATAAACTTCCGGTCCACGTCAACTGTAGACTTGATTATCACACAAAGGTCAGCAGGGTAAAGGGAGATAAATCTTATTTTTCATTTTCCTTGTATGGAAAACGTTTGCTAAAATAGGCCTAGATTGACCAAACTGATCATAGATATCCTAGATAAGGATGTCAATGAAACTGAAATTCAATTCTATCCATTTATAACTAAATTGAAACAAGCAGAGGTTTCAGTTTACATGGACGAGAAAGATTTATGCAACTGAAGCTAATTATCATTGAACTACAATAAAATTATAATAAAATAAAATATAATAAAATATAATATAATAAAATTATGGTGTGATTTACTGTCCATACATCCTCATACAAGGACATTATTTTTCTTGATTCTTCTTTTCTTTATTTCTCGAATTTCAAAGATAGGTTTTAGTAGATCTGTAAATCTATCTATGCAACATTGAAAGAGAGATGCTGAAATCATGTCATTTTGTAGTTTCCATTTAAGACAAATATACAGAGTCTGTTTCATTGTGGGAAGATGGGGAATCCTCTCAGACAATTTCGATGCTATTTTTAGACTAACTAGATGTCGCTACTCATCATTTTACAAGCATCTAGTCAAGCCCAGAAAATGTAACGTGACAAAAAGAAAGAGGAAAAAATATTAATGTATTTGTTTAATGTGTAATGCCTACAGGCCTGTTTCCATCTATGTGATAATTAGAAAGACAACCTTCATCTTCTTTTAGATAGACCAACAAAATGTATGGTAGGTTCTCTTCTAGTCTGGATTATTTTACCTTTCCTTTTCTTCTTCCTCTCTCACTCTCAGTATCTTTCCTCTCAATCTTACTCTCAGTTTAAGAATTAGTCAGTATTTGTCTCTTTACTGTTTTATTGACCATTGCCAGTGTCAGTGTTCATTATTATGCTACATTGCTAATTAGGTCTATTACTTACTCATTATCATCAGAGTTATAAAGAGTCTTAAATTGCAACCATGTCCATGGCCATAATATTACAGTGGTGTAACCTATTTTCGTGCATAGAAAGATTCAACACCGAATTTAGTCAAAGTTGAAAAGTCTGAATTTTTTTTTCATGTCTTACATGTTTGCTCAGATATTCTACAAAATAATTAAAAATGGTTTGTTTCGATTTTCTTTATGAATCCCTCACCTTGACCCATATTTCAGAAGCAACCAACTAGACAACCGCGCCAAAATGCATCACCTATTTTCGTGTACAATGTTTGATCTATAAATAAGTCGAGAAAAACCGGTTGTATGTATTACCCAGTGGTATAATTATCTTCTCTTAGTATTTATCTTTAATTTCATTTCATTATAAACTAGTGACAATTCCTTGAAAGAACCGCGATTTAAAAAAAATAGTGACTGACAAAATAAGATACGTAGTGTGATTTATTGCTTAAAGTTATTGAAACAACATAAGAATATGGCCCACTTTGTGTTCCATAGCATTTTTCTGCTGACACAGAATCAGCTAGTTGATCACTAACTTCATTCACTGGAATATATTCCGATTACAGGTTGGGATTATAAGGAAATTCGGCCGATAAAAATGGTGACGTTTGGTAATAAGTAAAATCCGCCATTTTGTATTTGTCAAAGTATACATTAATACATTTTACCTTGCTTGAATCTACTGGATTCTACTAACTGACATTGTAGAGATATGTTTATCAAAACAAGCAAATGTGGGGGTCACGCGAGGTCGCACAAGTAAATTATTAATCATTTCCAGAGATGCACGAAAAATAGGTTAGCACGAAATTAGGTTACTTGACTGTAATAAAATAAAATCTCACTCTCGGATCCTGCACATTCCTCTCTTATTTGAGAATGCTGTAATTCCTTTAATTTTTGATGATCCATTTTGACAGATTTATGTAGTAAGATGAGAACGCTGCTAGTGACGAAGCTAAACATTTGGGTTACCCGGTATCAATACTAAATAATCATTGATAAATTCTGTATGAATAACATTGGTCAGAATAAGATCCATTATACCAAAATGACATTGTCATAGTAGCCTACTGTTTAGTAGTTTGCCTTTAGATTATCTAGCTTTAGTGATAAGAATTACTTTCTAAAACTTTATTGATCTCAGGTGAGAGATATTGCCTGGTTAGAGTCATGAAATACTACTCCAGATTTTAGTATTCATCATCTGTGTATTTATCATTTAAAGTTTTACCAGGATGATACAAACTTCTCTACATGGATGAAAGATTCTGCTGTTCTGTCATGAAATCAGTGGTTACTGATATTGTATTACTTTTTCAGTTAGTGTAATTTCTTGTCTTGTTAAATGTTTAATGAACAAAATTTCTATCTTGGTTTAAAGAAATTAAGGTGAAGGTAAAAACATATTATAGAATGACATGAATAAAATAGTTATTTTTTAAAGCTAGAAGTAAACTAAAAACAAGGCTTTCTAATTAAAAAGGGATCATCTGTATGAAAGATTTCTTCTGTACTTGGAAAGTAGTAAATATTCAATGAGAAGCCAATTTGCATTTATCTTTCATTGTCTGAACAATTTCCTTGTGTCTTGATAGTGATATATGTAGCAAAGCATCTAGACTACAAATATTTTAATTTATTGGCCTAATGTTAGTATTAATCTAATTAGGTTAGCCTAAGATATTTTTATAAACATTTAAATCGTGACTGTAATTGGAGCTTGAGGTATATTTAAGTTCCTTGTTTTTGTACTTGTACTTCAGTTTACATCAAGACAGTGAAATGTATTGACTACTGTGTTATAGGAAACAAATGGTCATGTAATGCTATCAATATTTATTTATTCATTAATGGAATAATTTAGTTGGTGTGGTGCCAGTGAATTTGATTAAATTGATTGGAATTGACCTAAATGTTGCGACTGACATTTGACTGACATATATTTCTTATGTCAATTTGTGAAATCCATTTAGATATTTTTGAAATTATTAGTAAGAATTTAATATGAATGAATCATGTGAAAGAGTCATAATCCTGAGTGTAATTTTAATCTGTTCATGAATGGATATGTTATTAATAGATCAGTCACAAAGGATTAATATTGCAATGAATGTCTGAGGTGCATAGTAACAGTATAGAAAGAATTTATTCAAGTGAAGAATTATCATCTATTATATAAGACTGTACTGGTATTTTTAGTCAAGTTATTTAGTGATTGTTCATAGTGACAGCAGGATAAAGGATATTTTGTAATTGTTGAAAATTTAAGATGAATATCAAATTCATAAGCATTTACCTTAATTGACTTTTGTGGAAAGAAGAAGACACTATATATGATTGGAATAGGAATACATACAAACAATCTGCTCTCGAACTTAAATATGGAGACAAAACAGAAAAGACATAAGAAAACAGCTCTTTATAATTATGTTACTATACTTGCAGATGGAGAAGAAAGTTTACCATTACCAACTTGGAAAACATATTGTAAGTATTGAATTATATATCATTTGACACTTTAATTTTACAAGGAATGAATCCCAGTGACAGAGGGGTAAGGACCCATTTATTGCAAAACTTTTTTTGGGGTCATTCCACGTTTGGGGGTAAATGAAATTTGTCGAAAAAGTCAAAATTTCGAGAACTCGTAAGCCAGTTTTGATGAAATCTGGAATTTGAGCTTTTTCTATCATAACCAACATTTCTGCTAAGTTTCATCAAAATCGGAGATGGGTTAACCCAGTTGTGTGAATTGACATGGAATGACCTTTGGACGTAAGCTTATATATATTTTGTTTTAGATATGGAAAATTTAATTTATTTGTCTCATTTGTCTGGTAGTAGTATTCTCACGTTCAATCGGTAATGAAGTGTAGGCCATAGAGCCCTAGAAAATTCCTTTGCTTTCCAGGGGACATGCAAAGTTTGTAGCCCGACTTCTTTGACAACTGTTGTTCCAGATCATGATATCATAATGTCAAAAAACATTTCTTTCTTGACTTGTTTTGGTGGTGATTTCATAATTAAGTTAATAGGTTACACTGATTGATGTATGAATGAAGCCCCTTCTTTGATAATAATGGAGGGTTGTAGTGATATTAAACCAAAATTCATTTTGTGTTATCCTTTCATGTTTCTCTTAAGTTAGTAACTTTACCGAGTCATAAGGGATAAGTTTGATTACTTACAGGGTTTGCACAGCCTTGAAAAACCCTTGAATTCCGTCCGTTGCCTTGAAAAACCTTGATTTCAAAAGAAGTCTTTGGAAAACACCATAAAAAACCCATTTTCTCTTGAAAAGTCCTTGAATCTTGAGTTGAGTCAAATTGTGTATATTTTTAACAATTCAATAAGCGGACATTTTTGTCTGAGTAAGATTTATCAACAGGACAGCCGTTACTGAAAATAATAAACGTTTACTTAGAAGTATTCAATATAGATTACATAGTAGGGGGTATAAATCAACAGCCATGGGTCATGTAGTCTCGGTTGTCATTTATTACATCTACTATCTCCACACACCATGTTGATCGAGTGATTATTATGTTACTATATATAACTTGTAAGGTCACGTCTCGCGATGTCTATCAACTTAAATTAATAACATACGAGAATTTTAGTGATTTTTTTCGCTAATTTGGCAGAATGACCTGTTCGAAAAAAAGTAATATTTCAGAGCTGGGCCCAATGGGAAATGGTCTCCTTGGTAACATGTACATCTTGATCGCCGCCATTGTTCTAATCTAAGTTTATCGCTATGTCCGGAAGATGTACTTTTAACCGATCGTGGTTACAAATGAGTGAATTTAGTAAATGGAGGTTAAAGATAACCGAAACCATGCTCGCTTTTCAGTTTTTAACAAAACTACAAACCTGGCAAAAATGGGACAAGCTCTGAAATCTCACATGAGTAGTGAAAAACATGTCAGTTTGATGAAGTCAATGGAAGGACAGATAATGGCAGTGTCTTCAAATGTTGGTGGCAGTGACAAAACTTAGTTTATCACTGATGAATCCTCTTCAAAGCAGGTCAAGTAGCGATGTGACAATTTACGTGTCTGCTCGTAATGTTGCCATGAAAACAGAAATTTTATGGGTTTTAAGAACTAGGCTATAACTACCAATTCTTGTAAGCACCACCAGTACTAGCCTACACATACACAGACAAGAGAAACAAACTTGATTTGCAAATACACACGCATCTTCAGGCAAAGAACAGATTAACCCCATTGAAAAATAATATTAACTATCTTTATTGATTTCACAGTTCAGAAGTTAGGTACATGTGTATTCTGTCCGACTAATATCCTTGACAAGTCTTTGAATTTTTGAGGCAAAGTGCTGTATGAACCTTGACTTAATATAAGGTCTCAAAAAATACATAATACAACGTCACTGACAAAAAAAAGGGCAAAATGATCATGTATTGCTGATCTATTGTATGTTTAACATTGTGTCATTGATGTAATGATCAGTGATCTATTTCTATTATTGTGACGTCGCTCCCTGTACATCCGGCCGGCTGTCTGTCTGTCTACAATTGGCTTGTGAACACCAAAGAGACTACAGTTTTTATCTGATTGTAAGAAAATTTGATGTAATCATTTATATTGATGGGATCTTGGTCAGGTTCGAATTTTTCGATTAATAGGTTTTGAGTTATTGCCCTTGACTTATTTAAAGCATGTCAAAATTTGTTTGTGAATACAATAAAGACAGTTTTCATTTGATTCAAATAAACTTGGCGTTATCAGTCATCATTGATGAGATCTTGGTCAAGTTTGAAGTTGATGATTTTTTGATAAACGGTTTTTGAGTTGTTGTCCCTCATTTGATCAAAATTTTTTTTGTGAAGTTTTCATCCGATTTAAATGAAATTTGGTGTGATCATCCATCACAATGAGATCTTAGTCAATTTAAAATTCGATGAACGTGATTTGAGTTACTGCCCTTCACTTAGTATAAACTATCAAAATTTGTTCATGATTACAATAGAGACTTTCAAGATTTCATCTGATTTTAATCAAATTTGATGTGATCATCTAAAACGATGGAATATTGAATTTGGCGATTTTTCAATGAATGCTGTTTTAAGTTTATCACACAGATTGGTGACCGCCCTTGATATACTTAAAATTTATCAGGAAAGTGGATGCATCTTGCTAAGTTTTTCTTGTAATCAGGTATCTTAAGGCTTGAAATTTTACCATTTTTTGTGTATCTTCATGATGACATCCATGCACTGATCTTTAGTAATCTTAAATTCTCAAAACTTACTATATCCGAGATCTAAATGAAGAAACGATTCTGACTAAAGAAGAATTTGTCATGGACTTGATGCTTGAAGATGAAATATGCATGTTCTATCAATGGAATTTGAGTAACGTAACTTGTTGATGAGAAATGATTTGTTAGGCTCCAAGTAGTTCATGTGATATTTATATTGGAATAGATCAATAACTATCCATCCTCTCTATTCCAGTATATACTCTACAGCAACAAGCTCCTAAACCACATCGAATCATCTGCCAAAGAGAGGTAAGTTTCCTTATATAACTTTTGAACAGTCCAGTAGCAGCAGAGCCATTGAATTAATATCTTTATAATTTACACATTTTGAAATGGATGAATATTTTGCAATGATACTTAGTACTATTATGTGTTCTAACAAGTTGATTCAATTATATAGACATGGCATTCTACATAGATCTTATACTTACATGCTTTATAGTTATCTCACTCAGTCTAGAAGCCAGTTAAATTGTTCTTTAATTCCATTTCGGGACCATTGGTCTGTGGTTGGATTGTGTTCGTGAAGCTTGAAAGTGAATTGTTGAATAAACAAGCCTAGTAACATCTTGATGGTGTTTTCTCTATAGTTTTGAATACTTAGTACTTGAATTGTTTATATATATTTCAGATTCCAAATAGACCACTCTATTATGGAAAAGAGTAAGTTTATTTTTTATAGTGGAACCTTGTATTTCTTTATGTGTCCATTCATTATTTATTTTGATATCAATGGTTGAAATTTTATTTGCATAAATCTTTATAAATTGAAACTTGACTTTAAAAGATTTAAGTCAGTGGAACAGATTATGATATTTGATGAGGATCAGTCTATTTTCCTTATTTGTGATATTAAAATCATAACATCCTGCTTACATTGTAAAGCATTATGTCTTTAAATTTGAGTTCAGATTTTCTCTATAAATATGATTTGGGTCAAATATTGTGAGAAACATCCTGTAGTATAAAAATATTTATTTGTAAGAATAAAATTCACAGTCACAATGTTTTTATTAATTTATGTTCTTATAACATATTATAACATTGCCAGTGACACTTCCTAGCTCAAGTTTCCTTTGAATTTGTGACAGTTGGTTGAAAGAATCAGTTTTCAATTGAGGAAATAATCTCAGAATAATAAAGAGGTCTAATAATTCAGGTTAATATATTGGCCTCAGTAATATTGTCGTGCTGATATTCTAATACTGAACAATAATAAGTCAAATTGGATTTACCAAGGACAGTAAGAAGTAGCTAGTAAATTGTGTTTTAATGGGACTGGTGCACCATTTTTTTGGCCAATCATACCTTGGTCTCAGAAATGAGAATTTTTTGGCTAAGCCAGTCAGTAATAACGTTTACAGCTCACTGTTGAAATTTGAGACTTCAAATCTATGTATGTCCAAAATTATTATTTAATTTGAAAGTTAAAAGGTGAGACCTCTTTTCTTGAGACACTGCCATTTACAGAGGTGTTATCTATAGAAAAAGGAAAAGAAATTCCTAGTTTGAGATATTTTTGAAGGATTTATGGGATTTCTTGTACATTTCTAGTAATTCTGAAGACTAATTACATATATTTCAGACTCAAATCAACCCTTGAACTATGTTAAATAAGATCTGTTTAATCAATTGAAGGTTATAGATATGACGATATGAATCACAGGCCATAAAACAACTAGCTTTCCTGTTTGTTACTCTTAAAAATCTGAAGTCTTTCTATAAAACTGATAACTGACATTATTCCTGCTCAACCCTCTTTCTAGTCACTTTCTAACCAGTGAGGCAAAACTAATGAAATGATAGGAAAAAGTTGAAAGTGGTAAAGGAAAACCATTAAATTGAAGTGATGTGTAAATAAGCATATAGCTAGTAGAATATCTCCACTGAATTGGGCAATCAACTAAAGTAGTCCAATATTGATTTTCTATCTATAGGAAAATGACTTGTTGTCCAAAAACGTTTTACCCAATAAGAAAGTAATACTAAACCATTTTACATGTCTGGTAGCATAATACATAGTTCTGCTTTGAATTACTTTTAAACAACTGATAATTGTATAAAATGATATGAACATTTTTAATGATCCATAATCACATTTAGTCACTTTGTGACAACTTTCCAACTAGAGAATGATACTATTTGACTGCCAGCCTTGTCTAATGATTCTAGTGAAAGACACTGTATTAAGCCAGTTTTCATGGCTATATTTATTTATTCTCTGAAATAATTGTCACTTTTGATTTGACACAACTGGTCAATATACTACAACATATAGGGTTGTAGAAAGTATTTCTAGAATTTTGATTTCAATCTTACACTAAATGACATTTTTCATCAAGATTCTATTGGACCATTTTATCATTAATCATTGATTTACTGTTACCATCATTTATCTACTGTTCAAACTTTAACTTGCAACTTCCCAGTTCAAAGAGTGATTATGTTATTTATTACTATTTAAAGACATAGATCTTTACCAAGCTAAATCAATACATTTTTGTGAGAAAAATCCAATTTGATCAGATTCTGAATAGTTTCTTTCTGTGTAACTAACAAATCTTACTGAACTTCTTTCCAACATTGTTGCCATATAAATTAATTTCTAGGTACATGTGTTTATCGGTCTGGTATGTTGGTATATGATCTAAAAAAATTAAGGTCGAAAGTTTGCAATAATTTTAAAATTAAACCTCTTCTTAACCCCTGAGATTTTGAATAGTGAAAATAAAAGCTTCCTAAGATTTTTCAACTGATCTTCATGATCAAGTGGGAGGATTTTATATTTTACCAACCACCAACCACATACTGAAGTGTTTGAGTTGAGACATGATTCACTATTTTTTAACAGTAAAGGAATTAGGTTGATTTTTAACCTGAATCAGATTACAAATAAGGTAAATCATAAATTTCAAGAACCACTCCATTACCCCAATGATAAACAAACCCAGCAATGATGGACATTTTTCACCATGTATTATTATTGACAGATTCCATGGTAATTTAAGTCGTGATGAAGCTGATAGATTATTAAGTCAGGGAGATGGGTGTTATCTAGTCAGAAAGAGTGAACGTGCACCAGATACATTTACTCTTGCTATCAGGTAAAAAATTTTCAAGACATCTATCTTCCTAAGTGAAAGCTTCATTTCTTGGCTGAATATGATATAAGTTTCTATATTTATAAAGAATATTTCTAAAATAACTGTTTCAAATAAAAATGAGTGGAATTACCTATGAATTTTTTCCTCGCTTAAAAATTTCAATTTTTAAATTCATTTTCCAAATCTACTCGTAGGACAGATTTTCATGGTGCGCATAGAAAATCTGCTTACAATATTGTGAGATAATCTTTGGATTCATCTCTAAAACATAGCAATTTTTTGACTTTGTTAGTCTTCTTCCTTTAACTTTAAGTGAATAAAATAAAATAATCCATGGTTTAGGATGTCTAATTGATTATTTCTAGGTTCAATGGTGAAACAAAGAATTTTAGATTGTATTATAATGAAAAAGATCAGAAACATTTTGTTGGGACAAAATTCTTTGATACAATCCATGATCTGGTGGAAGATGGTTTGATTCATTATTATATAGAGGCCAATGCAGCAGACTATATATCAGCATTACCTAAAGAATCTAATTATGAAGAATCTCCTTACTTAGCTTATAGTGCCAAACGTAAAAGACTTGTTAATCACAGATCAAGACCAGCCTCATCTAGAAGACTGGATTATCCAGACAGTGGTCAACTTACATCCCATAATGATATTCCGGTAAATTTGATTTTTATTTTCTCTTTTTTTGATTAGTTAAACAATTGTCTTTACGATTTGTTTTTGTTCTTTATTGATGCAAGCCATAATCTTATTCACCTTACCTGGAGTCGAATTAGATACTGTATTGTTGTTGGCAATTTGATTCATCATCTGATGCTATATTTTTAGGATACGGTAGCAGAAGAAACAGAGAATTTAGATATATCTGAATATGACATACCTACAGATTGGAAAGATATTGAGAAACCACATTGTTTTAAGGTAATAGAGAGTTTCCATAGATGATTTGAAAGATGTCTTCTTAGACTGAGAAAGTTAAAATGGCATTGTGATTTTTTTTTTGTAATAAATATTTGATTCATATGATAATGAAAAAGATTGGGGTACAAGGTTTCACCTATATTACCCCTCTCCTGAAAAAATAATTATATGATATATAATACAAAAAGAGAAATTGATGAAAAAATAATAACTTGGTTATTTTGAGATAAAACTAAACTAATTCTATGATCTTACATAAAATCTTTCTACTATTACAGGTTCAAAATTTTATGGGTTTACATTGGTGTGATTATTGTGCCAATTTTATGTGGGGTTTAATAGCACAAGGTGTCAAGTGTCAAGGTTAGTTTTTGATTGAATAATGGTTGTTAATTATTTTGTTATATTGTTCAGAAATTTATTCTTATTCATGTCTACAGATGAAACGCTATTTGTTTAAGGAAAGAATGATTGCTGGCTAGGATCATCAGATATCCAGATTTATATGATAAAGGTAGTTAGAAAGGAGACTGCATGTAACTCACAAATTTTATCATCAGACATTTATTTTAACACAAAAAATGTAAAACCCTTCCATATTATATAAACACAATCAATTTCATTTACAGATTGTGGTTTTAGTGCCCATAAGAAATGTTCAGAAGCTGTACCTAATGATTGTATGCCAGATATGAAATATGTCAAACGTATATTTGGAGGTGATTTAACAACAGTAGTTAAAGCTCAGAAATCACCAGTACCTGTGATAGTAGAAAAATGTGTCAAAGAAATAGAATCGCGAGGTAATTGTTGAAATATTTAGTTTTAGAAGTCTATTAGCCATTATAAACTTACATTTCCAACAACTCAAGTTTCTGGTGCAGATGTATCACAGTTGAGAAGACCCAGATCAAAGCCTGATTAGGCTGTTTACATCAGTTATTCTGTGTGTCCACATGAAGGTTCTTCAAGGGTCTTTTTTTTTTAAATTGTTCTATGATAATAGTTCACAATCTGTCTTGTGCAAAAAATCATCACAGATAAGTTGTCATGTGAGAAAAGTTAAAAAGCCATGTGAATGATTTCTATTTAATTTATTTTATTTTCTATTTGATTTCAGGTTTTGAATCAGAAGGTTTATATAGAATAGCAGGTTTTCATGATGATGTAGAAGCTGTTAGAATGGCTTTTGACAAAGGTCAGTTTCTTACTGGTTATGTTTGTATTAGATCAGTATTTCAAGGTTTGAGCGACAATACAAGTCTATGAAAGCATTGTCTGTGGCATCAAAAATTGTTCTTGGCTTGAAAAGGATTGATGGAAAGGGCATAATTATATGGAAATTAAGCATATTTGGATTCAGAGTGCATAATATATTTACACTCTGTTTCATAAAATATTTTGACACATTTTTTCTATATTACAGATGGTGAAAATGCTGATATTGGCCCAAGTAAATATGAAGATATTAATACAATTACTAGTGCTCTCAAGTTATATTTCCGGTTATTACCTATACCTTTAATAACATTTGATGTTTATAAACTACTTATAGATGTTATTAGTAAGTTTCAACTTCAATTTACTTTAAGACTGTCAAATGAATACATTATATGAATTTACTGTAAAGGGATATGGAATGATTGAAACACAACTTAAATGAATGTGATGTGGTTCTCTAGACAATTTCTATCTGCAGCTAGTATACTGATTTGCAAAAATGAAATTAGATTTTACCAAGCTATTTGTCCTGGTCAATGCCTGCTTGATAAGCTTAGCTGTTATAATGAATTGAACTATATGTTATTGTATATCTGTAGAAAATGAAGATCAGTTATCTCAGTTGAAGTTAATTAAAGAAGCAATATCTCGACTACCTCCAGCTCATTATCAAACATTAAAATATCTTGGAGCTCATCTTTTAAGGTTAGAATATTGAATTAGTACCTAAAAAATTGTTTAATGCAAATTAAAAAGTTTCTGCACGGCAAGATGAAGTACCTTCTATTTTACTGATACATGACATGACAAGGTGCAGTTTATTTCATATGGAATGATTTTTAAATACAATCACTATCATGAATTCTGACCTTGATATGTGACCCTTCATGTACAAAAAAAAAATAGTGCTATGGACTTGATGATTATGTCCATTGAATAAATTTCTTACATTTTATATTTCAGAGTAAAAGACCACTGTAAAAAGACATTAATGAGTGTTGAAAATCTTTCAATCGTGTTTGCACCAACTTTAATGCGGCCAATCGAAACTGACCCTATGGTTAGTCTAATGTCAGTTAAATATGAACAGAAAGTTATTGAATATATTTTAGTTCATTTCAGAGAAATCTTAGGTAAATGAGGCTTAATAAATCAACAAAACATAATTTATTGAAATATTTTAATATTGTTAATTATTATTCCTAGAGCTAATTAAGTGTGGGATTAGACTATGGATTGCAATTTTGGGAATGTTTTTGCTGGATTTTGTAACAGTTATTTAGTATCCTAGGATATATATAGAAAAAAACAATATTTTTTGCATAAGTACTAAGTTAGATCAATTCTCAGGTCACAGGTAGTCACACTTTTCACCACATGATGTTTAAAACTTAAAAGAGAATGTGTGTAAAGTATATTTTCCTTCAATATATACCCACATTTCTACCGGTCAATATCAAATTACAAAGTTCACGTATTCATGTAATATCTTTAATAGATTGATTCGTCTCAATGATAAAAGGAAAGGGAGCTCTTTGTCTTTCCACAACTTTCGTAAGAAATATCACTGATTTAAAAGTACCATTTTGTAATGGAATTACAATGTAAGATTGTAAGATTGAGTTCAGACTACTATCATTCTCTAGTTAATAGAAGATACAATCATATAAACTATATATTTTTTAAGCATGATAACTTGTTTTGATTGTCAGACAGAGGGCACTTTGTATATTTTTACTTCAAAATAACATAGATTTATATTACTAAGATTTTATATGTGTATTTCAAATGCTTTGAGTGGCGTGGCGGCTTATTCTGCGTTGTCTCTATTAGAGAGAATGTTTGGCATTTCTATAAGTAAAACATATTTATTTGCAAGGGTAACATAAACTGCTATGTACAGCCAATTGTTTTATTTTAATTTAAACTTATGTCATTATGATTATGTACAGTATCATGTCTTAATTAACTATATTTATTAATTCATATTTTGTTAAAGCTCATTTTATATGGACCAACTGGAGATTATTTTCATTGTGTTAAACTGAAACTATTAAAGCTAATGCCACTATGAATTCTGTTTTTGAAATGGGTGTTTAGACAGGCTACTATCAGTTTTTCTGGTGAAAAATACTCTGATAATTGAGAAAAGTTCAAAAACTGAGTGTACAGAATGAGGCTTATCATTACTTTAATACCGGTAGCTCTGTACAATACATTTTTACATTCAGTATAAACCAAGAGTACATAAAATTTCTATTTTTTGTGTCCAAATTCAAATATTTCTAATCAAATATTATGTTAATGCATGACTTTTGTGACAAGTTTTTTTTGAATATATTTATTGTATTAAGCTTATAGCTTATTTTATTTCTATTGAAAGGTTTTTGTCCAGCAGAATATAATAATATCATATCGGAATATAATGTCTATAGGATTCATGTTTTTGCTGAACAATTTAATGGTCAGATTTTTAATGGGGAAGCTTGCACCAAATGCACAATACTTTACCTACACCAGATCACTTAATATATGAGTTCAAGGCATTTTTAGAGTCAGAAAGCTTTTATGAATTCAGATCTGATATCTTATTATAACTTTTTGATGGACATCTCCTATAAATGAATCAAACTTAATATTTGTACATGTTGTGTTTATAAAACTGTACTCTTCATTCATAAACTAGTAAAACTTTTATAGAAATAATTATATGATGAACTAGACATCAGAGTTTTATTCTGTGCAAGTGATATGTGTCAAATAAAGCACACATATACGTAGGTAGGCATGCATGGACTCCATACAAATTACTTATTTTGGAGCTTAAAGTGTTTTTTTATGGGATATTTGAACAATTTTAGAAACTTTACACTTGTAAAGGCAAGGCAGTCAGTAAGGCAAATATATAAGCTCTCAAGAACAAAAATCTGTTCACTTTTACTTAATGTAGTAAGTAAAGTGATTTTTATTGAATAAAGTAAGTAATTAAGCACTTTTATTTAATGACTTCCAATCAATCATTCAATTTTTCATTGTAAATGATTTTACCAATTCAAATTTATTTTAATTATTAAACATACAAAATCAATTAATTAATCAGAAATATATGTATTGATAAAAACTGATATCAGAAACTTGATAAACAATAAGTATGTTGAAATAAATGATCGATGATAAATTTATAGTTCAAGGCCAACATCTTGCCAGCCTCGTATACCTTCTAATAATTGTCTCCATGATGAGTATTGGTTACTGACAGTTCTGTTATTTTTAACTATCATCTTGGGACAGGATTTACCTTTTAGATTAAAAAAACCTGCATCTACATGGAAATCTACATTACCTGAAACACATTAACATTTCAATTTGGAACACAATTTTATGGTTTATCAACCCAGAGTTGATAGCAGCAATTGTTTCAACAATTAACATTGTCATCATCAGGTGGAAAATTTCTATCATTCACAATTAATAGTTTTCATCCTTGAACAACTTACAATAAATGAAACTTGCATACACCTAAGGCTCATTCAAGCTATTACAGGCTAATATAAACGATTTGTCAAATTGTAAACTTACCTAAAAATAGATGTCTATCTTTAATAACTAAATGTAAGTTATACTTCTTTAAATATTTCTGAAATGATTGAAATTTTCAAAACAATTTATTAGAAAAATCAGGGACTAATTGATTCAATTAAAAAATTGTTATAGTGATAGACAAATTAAGAGGCAAGTAAATCTTTCTTTTGCTGTTACACATCTACCAGACAGACCAATGGTAGCCTGTTTGTGAAAAAGATTCTAAATGGCCCTTTTAAAGTAAAACCAAGAATGATAAAAAGTTCCATATAACTGTCGACCCACCTTTAATTTGGCATGAACATATTTGGTGAATACATTCCACCATTTTTCATGAAATAATAACTCGATATAAATATGGCCCACTTTATCAATATACACCTCTGGTAAATTATTATCAATATTTAAAGGAACAGTCCATGGTTTATTTTCACCAGTAAATCGGACTATCTTTATTGTATGCTGTAATCTAAAAATACAAATTATACAATTTATACATTATTTCATAAATGAAGTGAAGTATTTTCAATCAAATCAAGAATTTTCAGTGAAACAGCAATAAAGATGCCTTTACTGTTTAAAATCTTAAAGGTTATTTTACATGGCATTGTGTTTTTTATATCTTCATTAATGCTAAAAATTTAAATGGTTTGAAATTTCTGTATCAGAAAATATTTTTGTGTGTTAACTTAGTGTATCTATATATTCAAAAAGTTGGAAGTCTGATAATAAACAATAGGAAATGGCTGAATAAAATAACATACCTTCTATAAGCATCTCTATTTGTATCTTGTAATGTATAATGTATATTATAAATACAAGGTAATCTATTCCAGTCAGGATATATAGATGTTATTAACCATTCTACTTTGGCACTATCTATAATAATTATTATCTTGCATGTGACATAGGCAATTTTCGTAGTCAGGTTAGGAAAACTCATCATATTGTGAAAAAATTGAGTTGAAAACAAACTTGATCATAAATCAACAAATATATTACATCAACAGATCTGCTGCATGAATGTTTAAATATAAAAAATTTTTTTTAATAATATCTAAAAATTTACCTTGTCCTTCTCTTTCATTTCTAACTTCTTTATCAGCTGCTTTACGTAACTTATTAAATATTTTCTTATTTGGTTGTAATAACATAACATTAGTATCAAATTTGTCAGCCCAGCCTACATCAGGTATAGCAGCTAATGGTGTTTGATTGAATATATCATCTGTTTTATTTAATACCTACAAACTTACACAACATATTAAATATAGTCATTTGTCAGAATTCTCTCTTCTCTTTCCCCTGATATACATGTATAACTGAACTGATATATTACCCTTGAAGATAAAAAGAAAAACACTTCTTGAAGAACTTAAATAGTTATAGGATATAGCCATTTTGATATTTGCTTAAATGAGCATATTCATATAATTTTTATATGCCCACATGGAAATGTGGACCTATATTGCCGTCGCCCCTGTCCGTCCGTCCACATTTGTTGTATGCACGATAGAGGCTACAGTTTTTATCTGATCTAGATGAAACTTGGTCTACAAGTATATAATGATGAGATCTCGGTCAAGGTCAAAATTGGTAATAATCGGATAAACGGTTTCAGAGTTATTGCCCTTGACTTAGTAAAAACACGTTAAATTTTTTCTTGTATGCACGATAAAGGCTACAGTTTTTATCTGATCTTGATGAAACTTGGTATGCATGTATATATTGATGAGATCTCGGTCAAATTGGTAATAATCGGATTAATGGTTTCAGAGTTATTGCCCTTGATTTAGTAAAAACCCTACAAATTTGTTTTGTAGTCATGATATAGAGTGCAGTTTTTATCTGATCTTGATGAAACTTGGTACACATGTATATATGGACAAGATCTCAAGTTGGTAACAATCGTGTGAACGCTTTTTGAGTTATTGCCCTTGAATTAATTCAATGCGTCTAATTTGGCTTGTAGGCCTGATAGACTCTACATTTTTTATACGATCTTAATGAAACTAGGTATGAGATCTCAGTAAAGCTTGAAATTATTAAAAATCGGATGATTGGTTTCACATATTAAACCACTACAGACTTTGTTTTCATTTCTGACAGCTGATAGTGGGCGTATGTTACCTTGCCTAGCAGCTATCTTTTTAAAAGTCATACTAGACGTTTTTTCTAGTACACTTTAAAGAAAAATATAGCAAAGAGATTTTGATTTTCACACCTTGGCTATTATTAAAATTCTCCCTTTCAGTTAATATGTATAACTGCACTGGATAATGTTAAGATAGCTGGCCACGCAAGGTAATCCATTGATTTTGAATAAAAATATTTGGCAGTAGAATTACAATCACCAGTATGAAATATTCAACTTTCAGTCATACACTTCTTTTGAACTCTTTGGCGTGATACTGAATATCGAAATCCTGCAAGAATCGAGCCTCTTAGTGTTTACGAGTTGATTTGTCTCAACTTTTACTAAACATTGTTACAAGCTGAAGGATAACTGATTTTCAGATCCATATTTTGAAAAGTGATACAGTTAACGGAAATAAAGAAGTCTAGTCTAGAATGCTGATATTTTATTTTATAAAGAGAATAATACAAAATATTAGTTTCTTACCACAACTGAGTTTTCAAGAAAAGCTATTTTTTCATATTTTGTATGCTTCCATAGCCATATTAGACCATAACTTTCATGTAATATTCTATTACCAGCTGTTTTTAAATCTACATCAATAATATCATCAAACATTCTTTTTAGAAATGGTCTGAAATAGTTTTATAAGGATTCGTGCACAGTTTACAGCTAAATGCATTTTGGAATCATTGTAAATATACTAGAATCTTATAAACATTAAATAACAATATTTCTAGATACACTTAGTTTGGAAGCAGGTGTGCTTTAAGTATCTGCATAGCTACAATGAAAGATGTCCTGGCCTCTTGTTTCAGAGACTAGTGTGCTTTTGGAAATCAATATAAAGAATGTGAGTTCATGTATTTAGATGTGCCTAATCAGTGTAGTTTTGAGATATTGACATGGAATGTGAAACTAAATATGGTGATGTTGCATTTGTTATATAAAATATATAAAACTCCTTAAATTTCATCAAATTTTTACTGAACCACAGTATTTAATTTGTTCAAACATGAACGAAACTAGTCACTGATAATCAGGGTTAACTGGTTGCATAGGCAATCTTTATTTCTAAAATTAAAACCCCACCTTATTAGCCGGAGACATCATTAGTTACCATTAAAACACAGCAATGTTTACTCCCAGTATGTTTTAATGATTGAGATAAAACAGAGGAACTGATAGCAGTTAGATCTGATGTAGCATAGCTCATATATACATTTTTACCACATTTCCTGTAATAGGCCTTAATATATTAGGATATAATCTGAACTCTAATAATGTATTTAAACATCATAACTGACATGAGAGAATATTACAACTAAACCATTACAGGAAGTAAAATAACTGAGTGCACCTTTTCTGAAGGTCTTAAATGGTATTAAATATGAAGAACATTTTGTGAATCTTTAATTTAAAAAATGTGAACCATTATTGACTACCAGATTGTAATCTATTATAGAACAGCAAATTGTAATCCATTATAGAACATCAGAATGTAAACTATTATTGATTTTAGAACATAGATTTTGAACCATTATTTGAACATCAGAATGTAATTAACTATTATTGAACACCAGATAGTGAACTATCAGAACATCAGATTGTGAACCATTGAACATCAGATAGTAAACTATTATTGAACTTCAGATTGTAAACTATTATTGAACACCAGAATGTGAACTAATATTGAACACCAGAATATGAACTAATATTGAACACCAGAATGTGAACTAATATTGAACACCAGAATGTGAACTAAAATTGAACATCAGAATGTGAACTGATATTGAACATCAGATTGTGAACTAATATTGAACACCAGAATGTGAACTATTATTGAACATCAGATTGTGAACTAATATTGAACATCAGAGTGTGAACTAATATTGAACATCAGATTTTGAACTAATATTGAACATCAGATTGTGGACTAATATTGAACATCAGATTGTGAACTATTCCTGCAATTAAATGGTTATCTATTAATGAACATCATATTCTTAAGGCGGTTAAATATAAATGAATGTTATCAGGTGAACCATTCTCAAGCTTTAAGCCTGAATACACCCTAAAACCAACCATGGAAATAGACAGGTTAATTAATGTGAATATTTGATTTTTGTAGAATTGGAAAATTGTTACCTGCAGTATATTCCATATAAAAATATTATATATAAAGACAATATAATTTTATATAATTTAAAAATACTGCACATGTTTATAGGCCTAGTAGTTCAGATCCTTGAGATTGGCCTACAATAATTGATCTATACCAAGATAACATTTTCAGATGTATGGTTCCCACAAACGTTAATCTACAAAACTGATAAAACAGAATAATACAAATAGGCATGTAATGAATGAAGTTGCCAATAAATCTGATAAGTGGTCAAATTAAAAAAAAAAAAAAAAAAGAAACAGGTATCTCCTTAACAAATCCTTGTAATTATTTTGTATTCTAACCTAATAGGACATATTCATTTTCCTTAGCCAGTACCGGTACATTATAGGATATGTTTCTGTGCTTTCTTGATTTGTAAATACCGTACTAAACAACATCATGCTAAAAAAAAAGGAAGGCTGCTTAAGGCAATTACTATACAATATAGGATTTTTGTATGATATTTTCATATTTTATTGGCAGTAAGAAAAACTTGAGTAAAAAATTTGTCAAGAGAATGTAACACTTTCACTTTTACATATCCCTGTAAATCGTACTGCTGACAATACATCGCTGGGTTAGAGCAAAAACATTGTAAGTGACTTACAATGTGAATTGAGATAAAACGATTTTAATGTTGATTTGTACATAACAATTCGCGTATTTCATTCACGCTCTTGAAAGTTGATAATAAAAATAAGTTCGTATTAAATGTGTTTTTGAGGAAAATTTGAGATTGGATACATATTGGCAACCAGCCAAAAGTCAGATACGATGTTTTTGCTCCAACAGATTTCACACACCATTTTAGTGCAAAAACATTGTAAGTGACAGTTTACACACAGTAAGGGAGAATATTAGCCATTTTTGTTGAAATGAATCAATTTATTAATAGATAAATTTAGTGTAAAGAGTGATAACAATTTATTTCAAACTTTCTGTAACATCAAGAAATCCATTGATAATTGTTTTAGGTCATCAATTACTAGTATAAACAAAAAAGTGCCGTAAACGAGTAAACATAAACAAGAAAATGAATTATTTATAAATCAATTAGGTTGACTTTTGAATTTTTAAGTATTATGCATTACAAATTAGATCTCGGCATAAGGACAAAAATCCTAATTTTAACTTGAGGATGATCAACAATCTGTTAAAAGGCCATTGTAAAAATGACGACAATCGCGAGGTATAAAGTCACATAATTTAAGTAAATCGGCTTTCTTTTGTTTGTCAATGACTTGAGTTGACTGATAAGCTTTTGTTAATTTGACTGTAGCAAGATCACAAGGATGCCCTTGTTTACGATAAGATTTCTTGACCATCTCGCCCCCTATTTCATGTGCAAATGATACAGTTTGTTCATTGTCAGATTTACTGTAAATAATATGATGAACAGTCATGATTCCAGAAAAGGCATTCTGTTTACATATCATCGAATTGAACCTTTCGTAATCATTAATGTC